GAGCTAACGGACATTTCTGTAGAGCAACCAGTGCAAGATGAAGGTTGCGAACTGTATTTCGAAAGAGAGACGAGCTTCATCGACGAGAAGCTGTCAGATCGAGAATGCAGTGGAGAAACAAATCAAGGAATAGCTCCGTCTCATCAAAAATCAAAACAATCCCAATGCTGGTCGGGGCGAGACACTGTATGAAGAAATGCAGAAGAATAAGGAAAATGGACTCATCTCGATTCTTGATCGGGCACGAGGTGATCGTTTCGCTCAAGGCTTACCGAAAAACAGTTCAGGACGCCCTCGTCTGGATCCGTTCACAACAGGCGCAAGCAACAATTTCTGTTCAACAAAATGAGAGGACCACGCCAATCCAGCTCGACTTTGGGCACGCACCTATATCCCCGCGATTATCGGCAGCTGCTTCCAATTACACAGAAGTTCAACAAATCCCGACTATTCAGCAACCAGTAGCACGACTGGAAGAATCTACCGAAATTCGAGTTAACTGAATTCGATCTGAGAAAATAGAGAGCATTCAGCGCGCAGTTCAGATCAGCAGTAGGACAGCAGAATATTCCTTCTATTCAGCAGCTGAACTATCTGAAATCCTGCCTCAAAGGTATTACAGCCAAAGCAGTTGAAGGATGTCGAAACTGCGGGGAAAATTATCAAGTTATCTGGAATATTCTTCAAGAACTTCTTTGGAAATACGACGGTTGTCAAGCGTGAAGCTTAGCGACAAAGACTTCAAAGAAACAGTAGAAAACGCTGAAAGAATTTTACGGCAGCTGAAATCCCTCAGCGAGTCACTCTAACAACCATACCTCGAGATGATAGAAAAGCTAATGCTCTCGTGACTGCTATTAGAAGTGGACACAACGAAAGAAAGGAATCCAGAATGGAGTACTGCAAGCTTGAGGTCATATCTGGAAATGCTGGCCAGATGGAAGAAATTGAAGAAATAAGAGAACTGAGGAAACCACATACAAGAGAAGGACGACCAATCAATTTCAAGGCAGAGGAGGTGATCCATTAATCAACGTTTGCGCTTTCAGTGATAGAAAAAGGGCATTAAACAGGACACGAGCAAATCCATGCGCCTT